GGGAAACACCCAGAAAATACTATAATTCACTTAGAAAAGGGAAACTTTAAAAGCAATTGGAGAGAGAAAACGCAGTCTTTTGAAAGTTTTCTTCCAGAGCAATCTCAGCTGCAAATAAGGTGCCAGTTACTGAGATACACTCACTAATCCATGAAGATGGAGCCAATTACCTCTTTCGCAGAGATCTAAATAGATAGGCTGCTAGATAGTTTCAGATAGAAAACAAAACGATTTAAGGGATGCTTTCAACAAGTCGATATAGAATTGCAAATTTCTCAGTGGGAGTGATAACAAGTGGTTGCCATTAAATACAAATGGACCCACCTGAGTAACACTGCTGCCTCCCAGAAGTAAAATCCGGAAAGTAACGCCCGAAAGTGTCTCACGTGGGCCATGATACCGAGAGAGATTCACGATCCTGAAAATAGTCCACTTCTCCAAGGCATGGGGAACCAGACAGCGACGAAGCCCTGCGGTCCAACGCCGCGTGGCGCTGGTGAAGAGAACCCTTAGGGAGGCTTCAGCACCTCGGACAGCTCCCGCGGTCGGCGGACCCGGACTCGCCCAAACGCTGGAAAGTCTGTCCTGGCCCCGAGCCTTGAGCCGGAAGAGACACGGGTTTCAAAACGTGCAGGTGCTTTGTACCGTGAAAGCAGACGAGGGGGTGAGTGAAGCACCTGAAATGCCTCGGTACTGAAGAACGGTTCGCTAAAGCTCACGGATGGAGAAGCAGCCAACAGCAGGGCGAGGACGCTCCTCCACCTGCTCCCCGCGCCCGCCGGAGTCCCGCTCTCCGCCTTTAGGGAAAACCTGAGACCCAGAGCGCTGCAACGGGCGCGGGGGCGGGGCCCGGCGACCCTGTCTTCCAGCCAATCCCGACCTCACGGTAGGACAGAGTGACAGGCCACTTACCACGGTAGGCGGTGCTTAGCACTTGGCCCTCTGACAAATACACTGCGCGGACCAGGTGCACAGCCCCAGCCGCGCCTGGAGGGAGCGGGGAGGAGAGGGCAGCCACCACCGGGCTGAGAACCGGGAAGAGCCAGCGGTTTTGAGGGTGGGTAGGGCCTCTCCAGTGTTCCCTTGCAGGGAAAGGCACAATTTAGTAACAAAAAGTCTTTTCCCGTGTGACACTGTCCCTTGGTGCTTACACCACAGTGCCAACGCCAGGGTAGAACCAGACCCTTTACAGGGCTAAGGAAGAGAAGAGCGCGGTGCACAATCGCCATTGGAATGGAGCAGCACCAGCAGCTTCTAGAATCCGCTCTCATAAACCTGGCCAGGAAATGTCGTTGCCTGTGTAGACTGAGTTTCCTTCACTAATAGCAAGAGTTCAAAACAAACAAACAAACAAACAAACAAAGTGGGCAGTCTGAAGAGACGGCTCCTGAAGGGGCAATGCATCCCATTGTTTTCTTACCCATTTTACATCTTCACAGTAAGTTTAGGGGAGAATGACAAGTAGCTAATTCGAATTGCATAGGACATCTTTCCTTCTTCTCTCTCCACTCCCCTTGTCTCTCGCTCTTCCCCCCCTTCCCTTTCTTTCTCTACCCCTTTCTCTTTTCCCTCCCAGGACTGCTTATTTACACTGAGTCTTGGAATGGAAGATTGGAAACGAAAATTGCGTGCCTGCATATGTTTCTATGCTTATTTATGTATTGTAAGGTAGTAAAAGTCAAAAATTAAAATCTTTCAGATATTTATAGTGGCTTCTGTTTGTTAACACCATCAGCTGTCATCAAAATATTCACTCCTTACATCTTTGCTTTCCCCACAAACTCCCTGAGATATTCATTTTGGAAGCCTGGCTTTCATCTCTTAACTTTTCCAATAGCTAAGCTACTTGTTCAAGAATATCTTTTTAATCTTTCTCACAAAGTTTTTTTTTTTTTTAACTAAGTTCAATGAGCAATTAACGTGTTAGTTATTCCTGTCATTCTCCACTCAACTGGATGAGTGTAAGTCCTCACCCTCCCTCCATGTCAAATGAAAAAAATCCCCTTTCTCTCTACTCTTCAGTAGAAAAAATTGTTTATACTTATTTCCCCCACTTATGTTCTTATTATACCTATCTCTTTTCACAGCTTGGTTTTCTGATTTAAACCATTAAGCGCCAGAAGTCTAGTAAGGAATACCATTGAATCTACCCCCAAATATTTGTTATTTTGAGAAGGTTCATACCA